ATGTCCAATTGATAATGACCAACACTACGAGCTATGCACTTTTTGAAAAAGAAGAATGAACCACAAATCAAAATCATGGTCCCTTCATGGAACAATTGGTCCCATATTTTCGCATCTTCTAGTGGGCTCGTGTCCTTATCAGCAGTGCCCACAAAAATAATCAGATTATTTTTGTGGTCCTCGAAACTCTCTCTCTTTTTCCACAGCTTATGCATTGAACTATCAGTTGAATATACATGTGGCAAGTGAATTTAAAGATTAGCTTTAGGAAAGGGGTAGTGAAAAATCTTACTTTTAGTATAGTAGGTACTACTTACTAGGTATGCAGATGAATTGGTACGGTGCACTCTGGATACTCAACAGGTGAGTAGGCCTTTGACTGAACACTGTTTGGTGAAAATTGTCGTGATCGTATTTAAGCCCTGTTTGTTTCGGATTAAAATCATATTTTAATCTAAATCAAAGTCAACCAATCAATATTAATCACATCTTTTATGGGTCCCACAATTTTTTAACCACGCATTTCAAAAACTTCCATTTCAATCTACTAAAAATCTAATTTTAATTTTCACCACCCACTTAATTTTTGCTTCTGAATGTTTGATCACACTTCAACCTGGGATCATATATCATACAATTTTCTTAATTTTATTATGAAACACTTAAAGAATGTTAATCTACATTGTACTAGATAATATACAAAGATGTCGAGCCAATATAAATTGGGTCATGCTACAAGTACAGGATTTCAAAAATCCTGTACTTACATACACCACACAATGGGGGTTGGGTGGGGGAGTTTTGGCAATATTTTATCTAACATGGGGTCCACCTCCATGTGAGATAAAATTCAAAATTCTGTGTAAATTCTGTACTTAAAGGTTAATCCATATAAATTTGAGGGTATACAACTCTTTTTGTAAGATAAGAAAGATACTTATTTAGATAATAATATCTATTTTGCTGTCAAAATAAATTTTTTTCCACTTTTGAATTACAGTAACTCAAAATTTTAGGCCATGTTATTTTTGTCGTTTTCCAGCCATTTTCTATTTTTACTTTCTCAAAACAACGAAAACGAGTTTTCTATCTTATTTTCGAAAACT